TTCGAATCATCGTTCTAAGCATCCATAACTGATGAATTATTTCGTTAGGAGCTTTAAAGTATTAAACAGTCAATATACAATATAAAAATATTAAATGACAGTAAATTCAATTGAATGAAAGAAAGACAATAATTATAATAATATAAAAATAGTTCAAAAAATATTTTAAAAAATATTTAAAAAAATAAATTTAAAAATATTAATTAAGTGTAGTTTGGGTTTACAACACATCAATATTTCTTTTGCCTTTAGTTTGTCATAAAAATTCTTAAGTAGATATTTTTGATATATAAAATCACCAAAACTAAGGTAAATTTTTTTTTTGAATGCAAGTATTAATTTACATTAGAAATATTAAAAAGAAAAAAAATCACCCATGTATTGTATGAATAACTATATATAGATATTAATTAATATTATTAAAATAAAAGAAAAACAAAAGTTAATTTAAAAGCAACAATATCTATTCAGGGTCAATATTTTGTTCGGGGTATTGTTATTTAGATTTTATATAATTTGCATATTCATTTTGTGATGCCAATGTTCGCTACAAAATATTATGATAAAAAATTAATTTATGCATTTTTTGAATTTTTTTATTATAACATAAAAAGAAATAAACTAACAATTGTTTTAATATTTAATATTTAACGCATTAACAAGGTTAACTATAAATTTAGTACCAATAAAATAATCATAATCAATCTATTAAAATATTGAAAACTAATATACAAATATATTTTGTATTTTATTACAAAAAAAAATGTTTTTTTTATATTAAATAAAAATACTTGAACTATACTTGTAAAACAATTTGCAGTATAATTTTAAACTCGTATGTATATTATTTTTATATGTATATTAACTCTTAATATCTATAAAACTCAATTAACAACTATTTATATTTTAAATTTAATTTTTAAAGTCATTTATGTATGACTGAACCCGCTAAAATCACCTCTTAGGAATGAAAGGAGAAGATTTCCACTGCATTGAGGAAACTTCCGGTAATTCCGGTAATTAAGGGAGAGATGAGAACATATAGGCTTAATACATAGCTAGCTAGGATGATCTAAGCTAGTATGTATGACGAAAGAATTTTACTTATAAAAAGGGTTTTTAATAAAAGGGAATTACAACAACAAGCATTGTTTCGAATATTGCTCGATATTTATACTTATACCAGTGATATATAAAAATATTATTGGTTTAGCTCAATAATTATATGCGGACTTATAAACCACACAATAATTCCTAAAACCACTGATAATGAGTATTTAACAAAACTCGAAACAGCCGTGTGGTCAACCAACATTAGCTTAGGATGTAAATATATGAGTATGCGTTATTGGCCTGTTAGTGGTGATGAAGCGATATCTGGCACCACTAGTGATGGATATTTGGCAATACCGAAAAAAGTTATATGATCAGTTATGATACATTTGCTAGGGATCTGCGTTCGATACCAAGCAATGTTAGGTATAAAATAAAGTTCAATACAACACAGAGTTCGATATCTAATAAGACTGAAGGAGGATATTTGGTATTTGGTAGCAGTTGCATGATCCGCTATTTAACTTGATTTGTAATTTTCTCAGCAGTATATCCTTTTTTATTCAATAGATTTCTAGTCCTCAAAAGGATCTTTTTGTCATAGTTACCGAAAATTATTAGCTATAGAAGAAAAATTAATATTGTACTTATGCATTTATATTTTAAATATTTATATACATCATAGCAGTAAGGCTTGGCATCGATTCGAGTCAGATGGTAAAAATTGGTTGAGGAAGCATTGGTCCACCCAAGACTGTTATGTTAAAAAGAAGTAATAATAATGATAATAATGCTACTTCTGCATTATCATTTCATTTTAAGTTTTTATATTGTCAAGAAACTATTATATACATAAAGCTTACAGCTGTGTCAATTTTTCCACCTGGCGGAGGTTCAGATTAATTTTCTTAGTACTTGTGATATTTTAATATATAATAATATGATATAATAGTATGTCTATATCTTTAAAATTTTAATTCCAATAACTGTTCATTTATAAAAATTTCTCCGTAGTCTAACGGGTTTTTTAATAAGTCCAATTATTAATTTCCAGTATATATACCCAGTTATAGCATTGCTCTTCGAACTTATAATAATTTAATAAAATTTATTTATTTAAATTCGTTGATTTTTTTTGAAAATCAACCATATTATTAACAAAAATAGAAAGAGGTATATAATATTGAAGAAACTAAAGGTGTATATAATATTGTTTAATTAACTAAATTTTTCTTTCTTTATTAATTTCACAATATATATAATAACTTATATTTTTATGCAAAATTGAGTACATTTTAAAAGCATTTGAAGAACAAAAATCAATAAGACTATTATTTAATATTTTCATTTATAATTTGTTCTTGACGACTATAAAAGTTTTTTTTTTATTTAACAATAATGAATATTTTTCTGTGATTTAGTTAAAGTATGCCAAGAACTTTTTAATAATAATGACTTATGTAAAAGACTTAAGGTGCTCATTAAATTTTCATAAACATAACATTTATTTATATTCTTGCGTAGGTCAACTGCTAATAAAAAAAATATAATTGTTTTTCGTTATTTGTTACCATAAATTTGAGTCTTTCATTTCGGTTTGTTTATATTTTTATAATAATATGTATATTTTTGTGCGTGGGAACTATAAATCAAACACCCTACGGACAACCAGAAAAATGAAAATAGAGCTTATTTATTATTAAAAACAAAATAAATAAAGGGAAAAAAAAGTAATACCATCTTATGCCCACGGACAGGTAAAATTTAACATATCGGACAAATATTGAAATCCTTATCAAATTTAATTATTTAAACTGGATAAAAAAATGTGTTAGTATTATATAAAACTAATTAAAAATTACAAACTGAACTTACTAAATATCAATGGGAAACATTCTAAAAATTTATTAAATTCTATAGTATTTAGTATTTTATAATAAGATACTAAATAAAATTTTAAATAATCAGCATATTTTGCCAGCTTCAGGACAGGTCTTCTCAAGTGCAATATAACTATATCAGCACTCGAATCAATCCTACTCACATTTTTCGTATATATGTTTATACTCATTCATGGCTTTTATTTATTTTAGAACTATGTAATGCAGTCAGTCATTTGACGAATGGTCTAATGTTTTTTTGGTTCTATTAGTCTGACCCATAAAAGCGTATTATACAAACAGTCAAATCACAATTGAGAACTTTATACTGTTTTTGCTATTTTATAACATTTTGGTTACTTTCTGCTCACAACCACGAAGCTATGTTATGCAAGCAGCCAAATCACAATTGTCAATGATATACTACTACTAACATTTTGATTGAAAAAGTAATATATTATATGGATATGTGATCATTTTCATACATATACTATATTATTAGTGGACAATAATATTTTGAGTACCATGACGAGGCACTGAAAACCTCACCACATGAAAATCAAGGTGCAACTGAAATTTCCCTCTTGCTCTCATTGTCATTATTTGATTTATATCGTGCACAACAACAATATCACATATTATGATGTAGCCATGAGAGTCTGCATAACATATCCATGAAGAGATTGTAACTGGAATCGAAATCGGTTGAAATTGTTTTACATATGATCATATCACAATCGGTAACTGAAAAAAGTCACACAAGACCATGTGAAATGAGTATCATTTGGTGAATTATATTAATTTTTTCACCACAAATGTAAGAGAATTATGGCTTTATGCGATCGCAACACACTTAAGAGTATAATTGCAAAAACGCTGAGGTGCATGTTATGATTGTAGTCACATCACGGCAATTGTTATTGCTTTCAATGCGAAATGAAGTGAGCTGACAGTGTTAAATTTTTACTTTGCATTGAAAGTAACAACAATTGCCGTGACGTGACTGCAATCACAATATACTTCTAATGGAAACATATTGAGCTCAATATTGAGCTCAAATTATTCAGTACAGTGTTACCAACTAACCAGAAATAAATTCTGGAGATATATTTATTACATAAAAATACATATTACAGATATTTTTTATAAAAATGTATATGATATTTAAAAATTAATTGTGTTTTTATATATTAATTTATTTTAAATAACTTAAATATAATTACTGTAAAATTCAAAGTTAAAATAAACTATTAACTTAAATTATTTTAATTTAATATATCATATTCACGCATATTTTAAAATATATTCAATGTAATATATGTGAGTAATTTAACACTTTAAATGCATTTACTGGAATTAATATTTTGAATGCACAATAAATATTCAATGCACTTAATAAACTACAGTTCAGTTAATGGTAATGTTAAAGTTATTTTAATATTTTTTTTGTTTTTTTTATTGAACGTAAAAAGAGTTTACTATTTATTTGTAATAAAGGCTTGTATTTTATTAATTAATATGTAAAATAAAGTATGCAGAGGCCAACACCTTAAATGCAAGCAACAGAGTATTAAACTGTATGATATGCATATTTTATATAAAAATATTAAATATGCTATAATTTAATTGTATTAAATCAATATTATAAAGCCATGTGAAAATTAAAAGAGAAAATCAACTATTTAAAGACTTTACTAGAATTTATGTACTATAAATACTATACTATATAAGATGAAATAGAAGCAAAAATTTATTTCCAACTTAAACCACAAAAGCACATTAAATCCAAGTTTTGATTTTATTGCAAATTATAATAATTTTAAAATTATTACAAAATTGCAAAGCACAAACACCAATAAAATTTATCTTCTATTTAGTAAAAAGCAGGTGTTTGTATAGATACATTTGTGTTACACAATAAATAATGTTTAGAGGCGTTTGTCGAATAAAATAAAATACTTTCACCATAGAAAAAAAAAATGTTATAAATAAATGTGATAATATTTCTATATTTTAAAGTTTTTTTTTGTTGTAATGAATTATAAAATAAAATTAAAATTTACTAACCTCATATCATCTATTTCACATTTATTGTGATCGGCGATGGTATCACGTAATACGCTATCAACGTCTATATTGTCGACTTCATCATCATCATCATCGTCATCATCTTCAGTACGATCTGCATGCTCTTCATTACCAGTGCATTTAGCTCCATCCGCTTCATCATTTGTGGCATCATTTAAACTTCCACCGCTAAAATCAGCTAATCGTGCATTTTTATCACGACGAAGGGTTGCGATTTTCCTTTCTTCTTCCTGTTTCAACTTCTCGACTTCATCTTTTGACAGAAACGAGAAAACTTTTTCTATTAAGAAAATAAAAAATAAAGTAAGATAAAATTTAAAAAAGTCATTAAAATGTCCAGACTTAGAATGATAAATACAAAAATTTGCTTTGAAAAGTATAGCCATACATAAGGACATGAAAACGCGAACGCTAAGGAAGATATCCTTAAGCACAAGCAAAAGTACAAAATTAAATTAGGAAATAAATAAATAAAATCACAGTACAGAGTGAAGAAGACTAGTTTCTTTTTTCACTAGAATTAGAGTAATTTCTTAAGGCATAAGGAATATACACTGACTGCAGTAGCACAAAGTAGTCACTAACGCTAAGCCAGAGCATAAACAGCATAAACTTTCAAGTTTTTTATTTCATTAAAACGAAACTTAAAGGAAGCCAACATGGAAACTGCCATGACTACCAATTCGTAGAGAACTTAGTGATATGCTGGCTATCAAACCGTACTGTACGCAAATATTATTGCAACTAAATTTGCTTCTTGCTCCTCTTCTCATCGACTCAGTGCGATTTAATGTTTATGGAGCAGCAAAGAAAGACTCTGGTAGAACCGTTTTCTATCGGAACTTTAAAATTCATAGTAGCAACGTTGTAATTACACAAACGATTCTTGTTTAGATTTATCTTTGCTAGGAATAAATAAAATTAAAATTTCAGCAAAACATTTGAAATAATTAAATTTTGTTTAAGTTAAAATGAGATGCATACTGTCAGAATCACTGAGTAATAACAAAATACGAAAGAGTGATTACAAAAAATGATTTGTAAAGTGAGGAAAAATAACCATTTTCAAGTTTTCATTCAATTATTGAATAGAAATATATAGAAATATTTATTTATTAAAAAGGTACCAACATATTAAACAAGCGTTGGAATAAATGTATCACTCCACACAAGGAAGAGACTGATTCTCATAAAAATTATTGACCGAGCGATATCTACTACTAAATAATGGTAGGTAATGAATGGTTGGTGCACCATTTGGTAAACCATTAGGGCATTTTTTGTTAGTGATTTCAAAGTTAATAAAAAGTAGAAACTTTTGAAGCTATTGACAATATAGTACATACTTTGAAGACAAAAGTCGACTGAACAAGTTAAAGACATTAAAAGAAGCGTTGGAATAAATTTATCACTTCAAATAGGATATATGTATATATTTCATTACAGATTAAAAAAATATGTTGTTTGAATTCCATGGTTATTATGAGTAGATGAAGTCAGACAGATACAGTCATGGTAACGGCAAAGGTAAAGTTGGTGCTCTTAATGTATGCAGTGTATTACGGAATAGAGTCGAATCTTATATAAAAAGTTAAGTTCTATGTTAGAGTTTTATTATTAAGGCTCAATCTTTGTCTTAGTTACACCAAAATGTATATAAAAAATTTTTATTTTTTTAACTAACTTATGAATTTATACATCACACAATAAGTTCGTAAGTTGGCTAATAAAACAACAGTTAAGTTAAGAGTTAAGAAAAATGTTGGTGCAACTAAGATAAAGATGAGCTCTATTGATTTAACTCTAACATACACACAAACTTCAGACTAAAACCAACAAATTTGTTATAATTCCGTTTATGTACTATATAAAAAGAAACTATTACTTTTAAAGCAAAAATCTCTACCCTTAGCGTTAGTGTTGGTTAACTTAAAAAAAAATTTCAAAAATTAAGAAGAAAATTAAACTTAAAATCTAGCATTATTCCTTAAAATAAAACTTAAATTATTTATAGGCTGTTTCATGTAATCAATTCTTACCAGATTTTTGTGTTGGTTTATGTTGGTCCTCCATAGCTGATTCAAAGAAACGCTTTTTGTCAGATACCGATTTAGGCACTTTAATTGGTTCTGTAGGTGATAACTGTAAATATAAATTCTATTAATTATGCACAAAAGCTATGAGGTTTTGAAATTTGTAAAGTAATATGTAATAATCAAATATAAGGGTAATCAAGAAAATATACTAAACAAAAAAAATAAAACCAAATATATATAACATATTTATATTGAAATACTGTAGTTTACATTATTCTTTTTTGAGGCGGATTGCACTTAACAAATTGAAAAATTACAGTTAAGAAAGGAATATAAAAGAGAAAAAGAGAATCAACTTTTATTTACATAAATTAAAAAAATAAATATTTTAATAATTGAAATCACTTCTCGTATATGAAGTAATTTTATCTCTAAGTTTAAACACATAGCAAAGAATTTATCCAACACAACTGACTGCACAAACAGTACAACCAACAACTGCTGAGGCAACAGATTATTTATCACCAAAGTCATCTCCTGTCGGTTTTACAGGTTTGCAACCATTTTTTCTTGTCCTTCATTTCACGTAGGATGCAATGGAATTGAGTGTAGCGAAATAAGAGTGTTACGAGTAGTTCCTATCGCATATCTGGCAAATACAACAGTGATAAAGTCGATAAAAAAAAAAGCAACGAAACCAATTTTAAGTAACATTCACTACGTTCAATAGATCTAGCAGTGCCTGAACTTCAGTACACATACTGACATACCAGCATACAGACGTGCAGGCGTACAGGCGTACTGGCATAAGGTAAACTATTAGAGCCGGAAGAGAAATGTAATTTAAAATCTGCTTCCCATCACGTTAAAGCATTACATCATCAATAATTGGACACCTAAAACACATTTACTTGAGTGGAAACTGTACAAACTGCACAAATTGCCAACCTACAGCAACAAGGAATACTACAAAGTGCAGGCGAACAAGCAACAAATTCTCATAAAAAGGGATAAAAAGGAGTATGAGTGACTTCACAAGAAATTAATTTCATAGCGGATTTTACTTTTTCAATTAAAAATGATACAATGCAGTTGAGATACTTCTTCAATAGAAATTTAATCAAAATCAATTGTTAGCAATAATTACAAGCCGGAATTGAATTGCAACTAAGATTTAATGGTAATAATCAACCAAAAGAAAACATGAGTTTCAGAATTAGTAGTAAATAATTAAATATATATAATAAAAATGTTGAACTATTATAAATGTTTACTTAAATAAATAAATATTACATTTTAAGAGTTATTAATAAAATACAACCAAAATTTAACCAAAAAAAATAACTTAAGTTTTAGAAGTATTAGGAAATAATTAAATTAAAATATTACAAATGTTTATTTATCTTAAAAAGTTTTACTTAAATAAATATAACATTTTAAGTGTTATCAATAAAATAAATATTTAACCAAAAAAAAACTTAAGTTTTATAAGTAGTATAAAATAATTAAATTAAAATATTACAAATGGTTATTTATCTTATATTTTTACTTAAATAAATAAATATTACGAATTAATTCATAGTTTACAGTTAATTTATAAATTAACTAAAATTTATGTTGTTGTCATTTCATTTTCATTCGAACTCTTCTAACCTTTAAATAGTTTCTTTTCGTCATAAGAAGCGTCATTCTCGGCAAAAAAAAAAAATTAAAATTAAAAAAATAAATATTACCTTTTATTTGTCTTTAATAAAATAAATAAAATTATATAAACAAAATTATAAAAACAAATTTAAATAGATAAAATTAAGCAAAATATACAGGATAATATATGGAGAATCATAAACATATTATATTATAAAGTTGTTCAATAAATTAGCAGTGCGCCATCTATTCATCAGTACTAAAACGTAAACTTCGAGGTTATTTTAATATTTTATCTTTCCTTAGAACATAACTAAAATTTAATTTTAACCATCTATTAATTTTTTATCAACATTCTATTTAAAATTGACATATTAATGTTAACACCGCATTTTTCCTCAAGTGTTTGATTAATAATAAATAAATTTGTACGTTTTTGTAGAAAAAAGGAGTACGTAGCTCATCTAAAAAGTCGATTAAGGGAAAACGGTTCCTGATAGAAGGGAATTCTGTTGATATTGATTACAAGATAATAAAGAAATGATATACGAAAAATTAAGTAAACAAAATTTTGTTTTAAATTTGCACAAAAATAAGGTTTTTTGCAATAATAAACACAAATGGGATTTTCTGCAAATCGAACAAAAATATTCCAATCAACTTCAAACCTTCATATTTTGCATTTTATTAGGAAAGTACAACTAATTACACATTAAATTAAAACATTTTTGAATAATTAAATTTATATACGGTTGGTTGAGTGCAGGAGATAATCACCAGATACTCTTAAGTATCTTAAGTATAAGTAAAAACTAGAATATATGATATATAAAACTAGGTTTATTCTCAAGCTACTGTTAATATAACTGAAGATAATTGTATGGACCATGTTCGAGACATGAGAATGTTTGTCAGAAGGTTTTCTGATACGTTGGAATTGCAAATAAGTTGCCAAATTATTTTTAGTAATTCAGTTTTTACTAATAAAAGCACAATTTTAAATAAATAAAAGGCTGAGAAATTTAATTCTCACTTTTGGATTAAAAACTTTAAAAGAATGATTATTATTCTTAACAAATATTCATTCAATGGTGGAGAGAGATTTTAACGCTAACAATCTAATACGATTAAATATCATACTTAGACATCTTTAGCAAATTTTTGTATGGATTTTGTATGGAAATTTTGTAAATGGAATATATTGTTGTTTATTAAATACAATAGTTAAATTCAATAGTCTAAACAATGCATTAAAAGAATTAGATTATTCTGATCAATATTACTTAAACAAGACAGTAATACAAATATTAACAAATTGACTAATAATGTAATTTATTTTACTTTTAAAAGAATAATTATAATATTCATTGTGTTTCCATTAAAATTAAAATAATTGTCAATAAATTATTATAATTATGAACTTCAAATATATTAAAGATAATACAAAATAAAATTAAATTGTACTAATTCATTAATATAACTAACTGCAACGCCTTTGAATAAAATATGTAATTCTTTTATATAAACAGATTTTGTTATATACAAAGATGTTTTAGTAAAAAAAATAATTTCTTTTAACAATTTTTAACTGCTGTATTATATTAAAAAATTTTTCTTTCTATATTTTTACTTTACCAAAAAAGTTTTAATATGTTCCTCTTTATATTAAATTTTTATAATACTTCTCTATATATATAATTTGATATGCTATAGTTTAAAATCACTGTAATATATAAAAATTCCGCTATAACATACCTGTTACTTATATAAGTCAATTAAAAAACAAATTTTCAAACCTAGAGGGCGCAGTGCTTTAATAAAAATCTACTACAATTTCAAACAGAAAAAAAATACAAAAAATAAATTATCAATTATTCTGTAATACTACGAAAAAAAAATTATAAGTAACAGACAGATAAAAACTAAGTACTCAACTGATTTTTAATTATTTTCAATTATTTACACTTCTGTACACAGTAAGGGAAAAAATTGTTAATAAAGCAAAAGGTAAAATAAACAATGAAAAAATTAAATTGCTGGGAATCTTTTTCACCTGTTCATGAATCAAAATTTTTCTAGTTATCATTACTTTTTTGTGAGATAAGACAAGAAATTTATTTATACATTTTACATAAAAAACCAGGTCTGCAATAATCACTCGTTCTTATCACAGCATTTTTTGTTTTGTTTATATTACACCATTCCGGTTAGCATTTCGCATAATAACTCTTAGTCACTATTAAGTAATTTCGAGTAATTTCCCTTTCTACAGCTAATTATTTAAGTTATCTACTCTTTTTAGGATAGGGTATTCAAATTTATTAGACTATATAAATTAGAACGCATTATTTAGTAGTTTTTATTTAATCTAATCAAAAAAGTAAAACTGTAACAAATGTATGCACATTAATTTTTTATTGTTTAATTACATTAATTATTTTTTTTTTGTTTTAAATTAATTGATTTAAAGAAAGAAATATTTTTATATATATAAAATAAAAAACTCATTATTAATTTTTTTAAACTAACTCGTCTAACTAATATTAGATATTTTTACACTATAGCATAACGCAAAACATTTTATAATTTTATAAAACTACTTTCAGAAAAATACTTTTTCTACTACTGATTTGTCATAACTAAAACTGTAATGATATTTTTAAATTTTATTATTTATAATAATTCTTTGCAGATTATTTCATTCAGGCATTTTATAAATTTCTTGATAAATATTTTCCTCATAAAACAGGAAAAACAAATTCAAAACAAAGTATATCTAAAAAGAACTGCATTGGAGACTCACAACTGTACTGAAGACTGAAGATGCAAATATGAAAGTATAGATATAGGAATAAGAAATGAAATTTTCCTATAGATTGCAATGTCAATATTGAAATTGACACTGCAGTAGATAGTTAAAATTATTTATAAAAATCTTATAAAAACTTTTTTAAAAATATATAAATAAAAACTTAATAAAATTCAGTTAAAAATTAAATAGAGAAATTGTTTAAATAATAAATACATTAAGACCGAAAAGTTTTCGGAAATTCTCATTTAAAATTCGCGCGCTGTATATTTTTCGATATTTTAAGTTTATGTAGTTTGGCAGCACTGTCCTTAATTACTATGCCAAAAATGAGCGCGATCTGTCAGACAGTTCGTTTACGGCAGCTGTTGAAACCAGTTCACCTCAGTAGTGCGTTGCGAAAAAAACAATGGAAAAAAATATTGAACAAAGAGTTTGCATCAAATTTTGTGTTTCGAACGAAATTTCGTGTGCAGAATCGTTGCGAATGCTACAAAAGGCTTATGGGGAATCAGTTTTATCGAAAACTCAAGTTTATGAGTGGTACAAAGCCTTCCAGGACGGTCGTACGACCGTCGAAGACATTTCGCAACGCACTACTGAGGTGAACTGGTTTCAACAGCTGCCGTAAACGAACTGTCTGACAGATCGCGCTCATTTTTGGCATAGTAATTAAGGACAGTGCTGCCAAACTACATAAACTTAAAATATCGAAAAATATACAGCGCGCGAATTTTAAATGAGAATTTCCGAAAACTTTTCAGTCTTAATGTATAAGTTAAAATTAAGAAAACAATATTTATATTTATGTAAACAATTATATTAAAAAACAGTAAAACAAATTTATAAATTTCTGATATCATTTATTTAATTTATATTTCCGGGAATTCAAAATCCGGCTTATAGAAGTAGGTTTTCTTCTTCTATGCACCGAGTTATACAATTTGTTTTTTTATATCGAATCATTCACATAACCCTTTATACTCTATAAATATAAAAATAATATTATATATTTCAAAAAACCAGCAAAAATAATTTATTAAATGCAAGTAAATATTTAATGCATAAAAAAAAATTAAAAACAAGAATATAAACATTATTAACATAGAAATAAATATTTAAAAATAAAAATATTAAAATAAATAAATAGAAATTTATATTATAAATAACTGTATAGAAAAAAATAATTAAATAAATATTATTAATTTTACCTAATTACTATTTAATTTAGAATTCAATAAATACTTTAATAAATCGGACATAATTTAATATTGTATAAAATAAATTAACATATTAATAAACAATACAATATAATATTATTTATACAATAATTTATTATTATTAATAAAAGCGTATAGGTGAGTATTAAAAAAATCTTTTTATTTTTTATAATATAAGTAACTTTAATAAATATAATAACAAAAATTAATTTAAAAAAAAATTAAGTTATAATTAAATATATTTAACACAAATTAATAAGTACAATTTTTTTAAATCATTTTAATAAAAAAATTAAAAGATCGAATGAAAATAAAGAAATAAAAAACAATAAACAGAAAATTATTAATGAAAAATAAAAATGTGTTATAAAAAATAGACACATAAATAAACAAATAAATGAAATTATGTGAAAAATAAACAAATATACATAATGAAGACTAATAAATTAAATTAAATAAAAGAAATAAAACATATTAAAACATATTTAAATTGATAAACTAAAATAAAAAAAATTAAATACCAAAATTTAAATAATGTAAATAAGTAAGAAAAAAGTAAGATAAAAAAAATAAAAATTAATAATATCCAAATAAATAAATATATAATTATAATTAAAAATATAATAATAAATAAATAAAACTTAACTATATAATAATATATAAATCAATAAATAAAACTTAACTATATAATTATGGAAAACGTTATTTTTTATTTTAATTTGATTTTAAAGTTTACTGTAGAGTTTACTGTTTACTGTACTTCATACCCAGTTTAAGTCATAAACCAAAGATTTGTTCAAAAATTTACAGTCAATATACAGTACTACAGGTACTTGATCACACAGGTACTTGAGTTTTTTGTTCCCCAATTAAATTATGTTTCAAGAATATTGTATAACTCACTGTGTAGCAAGAGCGATATAATCATGTTATAGTAGGAACATTCAATGAATGCATAACAGCACGTAATGGTACCGTGAATGAGTTATCACGATCAAGTGATCCCCACCCCTTTGAGTTATTTTTATAAAGGTAAGCGACATTGCTGATCAGCTATATTAAACTTATATACTGTATTACTTGCTCGAAACTTGGAGTTTCAAATTGTATTTTATTCGTTACAAATCATTCTCTAAGACAAAATTAATGCCATTTATAAATATCTACAAATATTTTGAACATAACTTTGATCTATATAATTACGACTGTGAATGAAAATAGTCGATGGGCGTACATAATGCTCCTAGAGTGTTTTCCACAATTGAGTGATCTCACTTTCCTAAATTATTTTCTAGTACGGTATATAATGTAGATATTAATTGGTGATCAACCATAATGACATATGTTTCAGATTTCAGAGATTATAAGTTCCAACTGCGTTTTATTTGATTTAATCCCATATCATATTTTAACACAAATTACATTCAATTATCTATAAATATTTTGAACATAACTATACTCTTTAAAATTGGTATAGTTTCACAATCGTGTGACCTTATCGCTCCGAATTGTTTTCTATTAGGAAACTTGAAGTTGCTGTCCAGCAATTTTAGTTTCAGATTGAATTTGGTTCACGTCAGATTGAATTCATATTCAAATATTTTTATAAGATATAATTATCTATAAATTTTGCGAACATTACTATGAATGCAATTGTTTCATTTCACTTTAAAAATCAAATTCATAAAAAGATACTTTTTATATAACAATATTCAATAAATAAATAAAATTAATATACATATTTATATTACAAATAGTGTTTGTGATAAAAATGAAACAATTTAGTTTTATAAAAGATCTCCATTTCGGCGTTAAATAAAACCAACCTAATATGTCACCTCACAACAAGGAATTTAGGAGGAGAAATAAAGAAGATATATATTTCGTTTTAATTCAAAAAACTTGCTTGCACTAATAAATTCATTATTAAATTAATTAAAAAAAACTTAATAGATAATTTAATTTAATCACAAATTATAATTTAAAATGTATTTGGACAACACAAAAGAAAACAAGAATTGTAAAAGAATAATATTTTATTTTTATTTTCTCGTTCAAAATTAATTCTCCAATAAACATAAACACAGGTATGTTAAGTGTATAAATATTATTGCTTAAAATTAAAGTCAAATATTCCGAAAGGGTAATAATTTCTAGACTATTTCTATAAAAAAAATATGTATATTTCCAAAGTACTAACTACATTTATACAAACACTATTAAAATTAAAGAAGTTTGGTATCAAACATTTAAAGAACAAAGGGCAAGGGGACGAGGGTAATAAAATTTAAGGAATAGTTCAAAACTAATTACAATTGTAAAAGAAAAGTGCAAACAAAATTCAATCCGCAGCGATTGGGTTACTAAATTTTTAATAAGCATAAATTTGTAATTTTTCTCCAAACACCCGAAAACCCAAAAAGAAGAAAGAAGAAACCCCGACCCATCATCTTATGTTGCCATATCAACGAAGTGTAACTCACTTGGTACGGAACTACTTCGCACTCTTAAGGGGAAAACTTCAATAAAACAGCGAAGTGTGCACTTTATTTCATAAATTATGTTTCCTACTAATTTTGAATAAAACAGAAAGTACACAAGGAGGAACAAAGATTTATTTAGTTATCCACATCCAACAGCATTTGAATTTGATTTTAATTAACATTATTGCAACGGCACGGCAATGGTCATGACGACTTTGCCCCGCATACTTTTCGCTGTAAAATTGAAAAGGTACCGTCATGCAATGGAAATGGATATGGATTAGATTTGGTACATGAGTATGCGTTAATACTGTTACCCAGGGTAACCGAGGTGTTAAATTGATGACAAAGTGTTAGATATTAATTAATATGTGCTATGAAGCAGTTACGTGGCTTACGTGATAAAGAAAAACTTTATGAACTTTTTCACAGTTTTCTCATTTTATTTTTTCCCTCTAAGTTTTGTTAGTACTGCCTCTCTCTCAGTAGCGCCGTCGTTGCGAAACCGCATTCAGTCAGTATCCAGTATTGTTTTTCAATCAAAAAATTTCAGAAGCCAATTTAAATTTATACAATGATATTAAGCAGGTCGTCGACAAGGACACAAAATAATCCTTGCCTCAAAAATTAGCATCTTAATTAAAACGAAACTTTTCTGGTACTCTGCCTGTTAATACTGTTAACCCATTTTTATTTTATTACGAATTTTGACCTATTTCGGATTACCTAAAAGCAATTAAAAACTTTTCTAAGCCCACCACTTTGCTTGCAAATAAGCAATACAAATAAATAAATAAATAAATAAATGTTTAATGGAAATATATCTCGACCAGAGGAAGTTGGAAAGTTGGAAAGTTGATGTAATAAAGAAAACCAACGAAAAGTGAAGCCACAAATGGCACAACAATTACTTTGGACATTTAAATGACGAAAGTGATAACAACTTCAGCGATTAGTTAGCTTCGTCACTGCTCAGCGTAAGCCGCAACGTAGCACACTAAACACTTAAGCTGAGCAGTTTGGAATATTGGATGGGAAATGCAATCATACAGTTGTTTCCTTTCCGGTAGGTGGGGAGGAAGGTAGATTTACAAAGTGTGCTACAGATTGTTTTTTCAGTGATGGTGACGAAAGATCTAATTGTGGTTGTGACTGTGAATGCAATTTCATGTTACGAACTCCTAAAGGTGGTGGTGGTGCCGTGCGTAATTTGTTTGGTTTAACTGGTCTTTTGGGAGGCAAAGGTGGTGGTGGTGGAGAAGTTGAGGCACGACAAGATAAGGAAGTGTCACTGCTACGTCGAGAATCGAAAAATGAAGTGTTACTGTAGATAGCCTCTTCTTCTATTGTGGAATATATTTCTTCAGCAGTCTCATAGTATGAGGATGCATTAAAGGTACGCTGCAGTGATGAGGTGGATGAGTCAATTGAGAAACTGGAGGATGTGCCAATGGTGGAAGTAGAGACACCTAATGATTGTGAAGTGTTTTGATAATTGTTACTACTAATTTTCAAAAGTGAAGAAGTCGAAATGGGTTCACTAGAGTTTTCTGCAATTATTTCAGATATTGCAGGAAATTGCATTGATATGTAAGATGGAGTAATTGGTGTTGATGGCGTAACAGTTGTAGTAGCTTTTGGAACAGTTGTTGTTGTACTGTAGCTTGTCATTATGTTAGCGGAAGGTAAAACCACCTTCGGAGTTTGATTTATATTGATAGTAGGTGTATTTGGTGTTGCGGGAATATCAGGATGTTGTTGTAGCCCATTGGGTTCACTCACCAAAGCACGTTGATTTAATTGCATTTGTGTGGACTGTACTGGATTCGGCTGTGGCGCTTGTTGTTGCTGTACATAGAATGCAGTTGATGTAGGACTACTGCCGGTGAAAAACACTGGCGTTGAAGCAAGCGATGGTGATTGTGATGTGGAGGAAGAAAACTGTGTTTGTGGCAGTAACACATAACCACCTATACTAAGGAGGGGTTGTTGGGTAGTTGTATTAAAAGTATTTGTACTAGTTGATAGGATTTGTCCTGTGAGGACATGTGTAGTGTTAGGTTGTTGTGGCTGTGGTAAGTTTGTGTATTGTACAGGAAGTATTTGAGCTGTGGGAAAAATTTGTGATGGTGACGGATGGCTTATAAGTGAAAACGTTGGTGTTACTGATGAAAAATCCAATCGCTTCTGCGGGTTAGCATTTGAAATAGGGGAAGAAATAGAGGCATTATTAGTAGTTGAAGATTCGCTGTCACAAATTGAACTACTATCACATGCTACATTAGCTGAGAGAGGCAAAGTGGGTAGTGGTGGCAATGGTAAGTCAATATTATCATCTGAACTATCTAAAAATGGATTTACCGATTTATTGATGCCTGCATACGCCGGCACTGCTGGAGCATTTTCGTTGGGTACACCTAATTCTGGAACCAATGTTTTGCTACGTAATTGATTACGTAGATCATTTTCCTTCAAAAGTATGATGCGATGTTCTTCTTCAGAAACCAGTATATTATTTGGAGAGTTCTCATGTATAAATTCATGCGGACGTTTTTGAGCTGGTGGAATTTCAGGAGCTAATGGTGGCAATACTTCAAGATAGTGAGGTTCATCCGCTGTGCTTGAAGGAGAAGTTTTCTTTGGCATTGTCGAAAAATTAATTGGAGGTGGTGGCGGACTTTCACGTGGACGTAAAGGACTACGCGGTGTAGAAACTCTCATAGGTAATTTATTTGTTTGAGAAGCTGGTTGCGTGACTGGAGTTTGCGGTCTGTGAACCTCTTGTATTGTGTTTGTTGTAATATCGTGCTCAAATACAGCGAAATCACCATGTCCAACGTCGGTATTTTGAAATGTTTCCAATGCATAATTATGAACAATTTCAGCTTTTTTTAGTTTTGGTTTCGGTAATAATGGTGGTGGGATTTTAGGTTTAGTACCGGTTGAACTTGCAACTAGATTTCCAGTAGACATTGATTGAGCATTAGAAAACATTGTAGGAGAAGAACGGGTATTATTTATCGAACGATTGTTTGACAAAAGATCTTCATTTGATTTTGAACCCGAACCAAAGAAAAACTGCTCACGTGGTGACTTTAAGGCAACTGGCGATTTTGATATTGCTTTTGCTATTTCAGTATATTCATCAGTTTTACTCTTGTCTAAATAAGCTTCACGGAAGGGATTATCTCTTTCAATTTCAGTAGATACTAACACTTTTTCGGGTGGTGGTGGCGGACTTCTATAACCTTTATTTGAAATATTTGGTGATGGTGAACGCATTGCATGTTGAAGTACGGGCGAATCAATTTCTTTTATTCGAGCTACTGTGGGAGTAATAGTTGTTGGTTTCATTGGACGGTTCGATCTTTCTAATGTTGAATTATTAGAAGAGGACGGACTCGAAGATCTCAAAATACCCTTACGCGGATAGCGAGTACGAGCGGTATTGTATTCTTGTTCTGAGTCATAAAACCGATTATAACTTTCTGGTGTACGTGAACTTTCGTAATCTGATTTTGATCTTTCATCACCGCTTAAATCAAAGCTAACAGATTTTCGATGACCCCCATAGGATGTTGAAGATAAGTCAGGTGAACTGCATTGCTTACCATAACTAGGTCTGTACGTTTTATAATCACTTTCAGAATCACTTGTATAACGTGGCATAGAACGTGCTTTCTCATAGAAATCGGAGTCAGTATCTATTTGATCTGGTGTATTAGATGTTAGTATGTTCGATTCTTGCTCAGATTGATTCTCATAAGCATCTACATCATCGTTATTATCAATATTATTGTCTACATCGTCATCATCATCGTCATCGTCGTCGTCATCGTCATCGTCATCATCAATTATATATACAGCTTCAGCTTTTGTGGCCTTTTGTTTTAAATCTTCAAGAGCGGCATCTTTCAATATACGTTGATTTTGCACCATTTTTTTATATTCAAAGCGTGGATCATCTTTTCGATTCTGATAAGTTGCATCAAAATTTTTTAAATTTTACAATATTTTAGCAAAAATTATTTATTGTTATTCTAAAAATTGTGCTATTAGCTCAACAGAAACAAAAGATTTTTTTCACAAACATATACAATAATTAGACTAAATGCGTTCAGATTTGCATATATTTGTGTGCTGAGACTTTATGGAGTTGTTGTGTGAGACCAATATTTTTGTGCATCTATGTAAGTGGGTTAATGTCTTGGAAACATTGTTAAAGCACAGATGAATGCTTTAATGCCAGTGAATTTTAAATGTGCAAAAATGAGTCGAAACAACACAAACTTGATAATGAAACAGTAAAATGTTCTGATATTTTTTGTACGTAAACCAATTCCACTTACCAATCTTAAAACACTTTAAAATAAAATTATAAAACAGTAACAAAAGGATTTTATTTAATTTGATTTGATTTGTCAAATTTTTTAAGTGAAAATAGAAAAGCTGAAGCCAAAACAATAACAAATTAAGCAAACGATTCACAAATATGCAATTTACCTAAGAACATTTACTAATAGAACTCAGATAAACTGTCGTATCTTTACTCAAAATGAATTCTTAAATGAAATCACTTTAAAACAAAAGACTTTTATTGTTTTAATATTTAATAAATTTACAAAACAATTTCTTTTTACATCTGATGTCGGAAATTGAAATGATAAAAAAAAATTACATTAAGTTAACTTGACAAACAGTTTACGTTAGTTTATCATATAATAAATTCCAAATTTATTTATTTTTTTTTTTTTGTAATAGTAAATTTATACCAACAATAAAAACATTTAAATTTTTTTTTTAAATATTAACAATCAATTTTTTTTTTATTATTTATACAATATTGGACCATAAATATTTATTTATTTATTTTTTTTAACAATTAACGAAAATTTTTAAAGGAAATATTTTCCCAATAAAATTCGTGCTGTTACATTATAGGAAGGATTTTTTATTGTTTTCATTACTAATAAATTTTTAATTTGCCTATATATGTACATATATACACCAACAACAATTTAATTGAGATAATTTTGTTTAAGACTCAAGATATGCAATTGAAAACTTTAAAAGGTGCTTGTTGAATTTTTCATATTTTTTATCATCATTATTACAAGTTTTTTTTTCTTTTTTTGGAAATTTAAAAAGGATAAGAATTCTTTTTTATATTAATAAGAAATCATAATCAAAAGAAAGCTATTCATCTATTTGTTAGGAACTATATAGTTTCCATAGTACTTTAAAATAATAAAAAAAAAATATATATAATACCATTTGAAATTTTACAAATTTCAAAAAATTAATATTTCGCATTTTATAAGATTTTAAAAGGATCCATTTAACTATATCAATAGAAACCTACTTTATCAGGATATTTCATACATCACTTATTTAAGTATCAATATTTGAGACATATATTTTACTGTAGAAGTTTCTTAAAATATTTAAATTAGGGATAGTAATTAATAGTTGCATTTTGTTTTTAATCATATTATCAAATAATTTTTGAAACCATTGAAATATTTATGACACTCAGGGCATATATAAGTATATTGCAATAGTACTGAGTCAAACGGATATGAGTTCCGTTCTACTTATTTATATTTGTATATATAAATGCATATAGTGATTTAATATCTTGTATAGTATAAAATATTTATTGTATGAGAGAAGGAAACAACACTTTGTACACATAATACAGTTTTCTAATTGAATAGAAAATTTACTTGACACTCAACAACAAATTTTAACAAAAGAAAATTTTTGTTATATTTTAAGTCACATTTACATATAATTATTTTTATTTTTTTTTTATTTAATAAGTTTAAGCTTCAAGAAAAGGAAAAATATTTCCTCCGTTAAACTAAGTATTCATCAGTCTTATAGTTAAAAACATCCGCTTGTTAAGCAAGACTTTGATCAGAGTTCTGCAATGAAATCGGCATAAAGAGAAGAACAAAAAGAAAGAATCGAAAAAGGAAGAGAATTGTTATATTAAATAAAAAATCATAGTTTTTTTAAATTTAGAAAATTATTTTAATTTTATGTATGCAAAATTTGTTAAAGTACACATCAAAACGACAGCCAATTAAGAATTTTTAATTTAAAATTGAAAAAAAATTGAAGAAAATTGTAAATTCATACTCGGAAAAAATACACAGAGATATATATAGAGAATAAAATTAAATTTTTAGTTTAACGGGAATCAGTTAAATACATAAGTATATATACTAAGCGAAGGATTATATAAAATTTTCATGCTTACACATATAAATTAATAGAATAAAATTAAAATAGAAATAGTTATTAACAATTTTAATTTGAATTGTCTAAAATATGATTATTACTTTAAATTTAATAGTTTTATATCTTAATACTTAATGTATGCCTTGCAATTGATTAATATATAAGGAATTGTTTACATATTTGTTATTTTTATTTAATACTCTGCCACTTATTTATTTTATTATTGGCGTTATAAATACATACAATATTTCTTTTATATTTTGTTTTATTAATTTATAATTAAATTTATATATATATATTGATTTTATTGTATTTTCATTTTATTTATTTATATATATTTTACGTTATTATATTTTTTTCAAATTTTTTATTTTTTACAAATTTTTTATTTTTTTTATTTTGTTTTTATTCATTTTATTTTTTTTTATTTTTGTTTATTTATTTCTTTTTGTTTTTATATTTATTTTTATTTCTTTTTCAATGTTCTTTGTTTTTTATTAATTTTATTTATTATTTTTAATTTTTTTGAATTATTTTTATTTATTTTTAATTAATTTATTATTTATTTTAATATTTTTATTTTTTTTTATTTTTTTTTATTTATTTTATTTTTAATTTTTTTTATTTTTTTTTTATTTTTTTTTATTTACATTAATTTATTATTTTTGTTAATTTTTTATTTATTTAATTTATTTTCATTCAGTTTTAATTTTTTTTTTTTTTTTTTTCTTTTTTTCATTTGTTTATTATTTTTTTTTTTATTTTATTTTTTATTGTTTTTTTTTTTCATTTTTTATTTATTTTTAATTTATTTTTTATTTATTTTTCATTTAGCTTTAATATATTTTGTATTTATTTTTTTTTATTTTTAATATATTTTTTATTTATTTTTTATATTATTTGTAAATTATGTTTAATTAATTTATTTATATTTAATTTCTTTTCAATTAAATAATTTTTGAAATTTAATTTTAATATAATTTTTATTTTCATTTGTATTATGTTATTTATTTTAATTTTTTTACCTTACTAACAATGTGACATAGTCTTAGAAAGGGGGAAAAGGGTCTAAAATAACAATAACTTGCGCTGCGTAATACTTAAACGTTTCTAATAATATTAACTATGGTAAAATATTTTACTACAAAAATATATTTAAATAAATAAAAACTAATTATCACTTAATATATTTTTATTGTTTGAAGGCTTTTTGTGGACCTAAAAAATTCAGTTGTTATAACGCTCCATCCTGAACACAAAATCAATTTTGATATATAGATGTATTTGTAAATGAAATAACTATAAAAATTAATTAAAAAAAGAAGCTTTCCTTATATAAAGGTTACAAAGAACCTTTAAATAACAATAGAATTATTATCGATATAAAAAATAAACTCAAAGCAATTAATATATTTTAAAATAAAATAAAATTTAAAAAAAGAAATTATTTTCACCAATTGATTGATTTTACATCTGATATAGATAAGTACTTCTTACTTTAAGAATGAAGCCGTAGTTCAAATGTGCCTATAAATTAAGGTACAAAAATACGAAGAATTAGATTGCAACCAGTCTATATGTAGTATATATATAGATCGCTTCATACGACAGAGTCAGTACTTATGGAATTTTTCAAACCAAATCCAGAAGGTATAAAAAATACATTGTTATTATACATTCAACGATGACAAGCAGAAGTAACAAATTTCGGACTGACTGAGCATAGTTCTAGTTTCTCCGACCAACGTCAAGAACCTCAAATCAGCGTGAAATAAATAATATTTTGTTTGATATTTTTGGAAAAAAGTCTGTTTATAATTAAATGACTGACTATATTCCCGATATGAGAAAAATTTGGTCAAAGTAAGGTCCTTTACCAACTTTCAGCTCTCCATAATTCAAAGTTGTTTTCAGTCCCTTGATTAAATAATTTCATATTGAATTTATTGTTACAGCCCGAAAGCAAATCCACAATATTAGTGGATTTGATGATGGGAAGTAGGATTAATGGGTGAGAATAAGATTCAATTATAATTTAAAATAATGAAAAATAATTTAATAACAATATAAACATTAAACATAAAACTGTATAATTTAAATATTGTCTACAAATAATTTTTGAAATATAAAACTAGACGAAATACTTAATTTTTTTTTTTTTAAATAAATTTATAATAATTTTTTCTTTAAATAATATGGTGTGATCAAAATATAACAATAATTTTAAAAATACCCTCCCGGTACCATTTTTAATAAATGGAGTCTTTTTGTGTATTGGTTGCACCTTAAATGCTGCAATGTCAATTTGTGTCGGATTAAAATTTTTTGTTAAAAATAAAATTATTGCAGCGAAGTATTTGAAATGTTAAACAAAAAAGTTTGAAGAAGTAATAAGCACTTTCAAAAATACATTTATATAAATATATTGCTAGATCTGAATATCATTAACAAGACCATCAATAATTGAAACGCGGAAAAAATTTATCAATTTGTACTTACTAATAGATGAGTTACTATTTATGTGCTAAGAAGAAGAGGTCGTGCCATATCATGTCATAAGAGGTCATAGAATAGGTTATATGGCTCTTCTCAAGCGATTTTCATAACAACAGTTTCTTCAACAATTCAATACGATAAAGAACATTACTGTAATTGAAACCATCTGTTACTTTAAATGAGAAGGTTCTCAACATTAAAAATGAAACACGGAAAATCTTAGAGCGAACTCAAGACGTTACAATAGTCTTTTCAATCGCTGGAAATGGAAATTTCGATCGCGTAAGTACATAATATCAAAAGTCTACGGACTACTTTAAAGTTAATGAAGTAGCATTACATTATAAATAAAATTAAAAATTCTCATTACTTTTTGATCACACCTTATACACTTATATACTAATTTATTTGAACTAACAACCAAATTTTTTAATTTAAAATGCTATTTATTATATTAACAAAAATTATGAGTAACTTAGTTTTTTCATTATTTTGTTACCCTAATTTTTATTATAGAGAAATATGTTAGAAATGTTGTTATGGCAGGTATATTTCTTGTTGAAACATATTTTAATATCAATTGAAATACTACAAAAAAAAATCTCTATGGTTAGTTTTATGAGGTGTATTAACACGTTTTTTTTATTTTCCACACATATAATTCAAATCATAATACAACTAATTTTAAACACAAATATAAATAACATCATTATATATTTTATATTTAGTTTCTGTATTTTTTTCCTTTAATTATATTTATTTTTAACTTACTAAAACCAAAAGCACTTACTCAAGTAGCTTTTTCCAACTGTCTCAAGCACTGACACACTTTTCATACTTATGATGTACTTATAAAACGATTTTGCTAAGGTCTAACCTTTGCAAATAAGTAGGCTTTATATGGAACATTTAGTTTTTAATTTAAAATTTTTTTACTATACAAAAAAAAATTTTTATTTTCCTTAAATTTAGTTTTAATTCTTCAATACGGTGCTTACGAATTAAAAAGAATTTTTAAAAAAAACGTAAAATAAAACACACAATTTTTTTAAATCGCAGAATATTAACTTTGTTTTTAAGAATCGTAATACCTATTCCATATTGCGAAGGAAACATATAACGTCTTACTAACCCCACTATTCGAAATTAAGTTCCATTTTAGAAAAGCAAAATAAATCAATAACAAAACAATTGACAATAAGGCAATAAGGCAACACTGGCAACATAAAAAAATTTAATTAGATTTTTCCAAAAATTTTTTTAAGATTTGCAGTACCGTGAAATGAGTACGAAAACACAAAAAAAAAACAAAATCAAGAACAATTATTATGAAGAATGACATTTAAAGTGCAGACATGAATTTTATACATAACTATAACTAATAATAACGATAATTAACGAACATTTTTAGACAAATTACGTGAATTAGAGACGAACACTAAAATAATAAATAATTTATTAAAAATAATGTAACACACAGTGAATGAAAAGTGAATGTTTAAATTGGGTTAAGTTTAACATTTTCCAGTACATTTAAGTGTCTTTTAACTTTGTTTAGAAATTTTATTTAACGATATATGCACAACGACATATAGTGACAATGCAACAACACAAAACGGTTATGATAAAAAAATAAACAAAAACTAAGAATTTAAAATTTAACATACCTGTTCATTTTGCTGTTGTGGCATTTCCGGTTGTTTTTCATTTGTAGTAACTTTAGAACTCTTTGAAAGGGACGACTCTGTAGGTTTTGTAGTCACAGTTGGAGATATAGGCGGCACTGTAGCTGTTGCAGCTGGTGGTGTGGCTGCGTGTGATGTTGGTTGTTGTTGTTGCTGCTGCTGCTGTTGTTGTTGTTGTTGTTGAATAGGTGGATTAGTATCTAGTGTGTGCTTCGATATAACAACTGTTGTAGTCTTTTGAATTTTATCTTGGTCATGATGCTCAGATGGTGATTTTGGTGGAACTGTGGTAAATGCATCAGCAGCACGAACAATTTCTAACACCTGTAAAGTTAAGCATTTAATATTATAAAATTATTTTATTTTTTTTTTAAATTAGCATTTAAAAAAAAAAATCAGATAAAATATATAAATTAAGAATTGAATTACCATTTTTTATAAATTTATTATTTATTAGAAATTATAATAAAATGTGATATAATATAATAAAATACAATATAATAATTATTTATTATTAATTTAAAATTTAACATACATTGTGACCGAAAAGTTTTCGGAAATTCTCATTTAAAATTCGCGCGCTGTATATTTTTCGATATTTTAAGTTTATGTAGTTTGGCAGCACTATCCTTAATTACTATGCCAAAAATGAGCGCGATCTGTCAGACAGTTCGTTTACGGCAGCTGTTGAAACCAGTTCACCTCAGTAGTGCGTTGCGAAAAAAACAATGGAAAAAAATATTGAACAAAGAGTTTGCATCCAATTTTGTGTTTCGAACGAAATTTCGTGTGCAGAATCGTTGCGAATGCTACAAAAGGCTTATGGGGAATCAGTTTTATCGAAAACTCAAGTTTATGAGTTGTACAAAGCCTTTCAGGACGGTCGTACGACCGTCGAAGACATGCCGAAAAAACCAGCCAAAGTCGCTCGTAAATCAAGGCAATGCTGATTGTTTTCTTCGATATTCGTGGTGTGGTGCATCATGAATTCGTCCCTGAAGGACAAACAGTCAATAAAGCCTATTATTTGACTGTTTTAAGACGTTTGCGTGAAAATATCCGCCGTAAACGGCCTCAATTGTGGAAGGATAATTCATGGATTTTTCATGACGATAATGCTCCCTCGCACCGAGCCAACATTATCAACGATTTTAAGGCCAAACATTCAATAAATACCATCGAACAGCCCCCGTATTCACCTGATCTTGCACCGTGTGACTTTTTCCTGTTTCCCAAACTCAAATTACCACTCAGAGGAACGCGTTTTGAATCCATAGAAGACGTAAAACAGAATTCGCAGAGGAAACTCAAAGCCATACCGGAAAGCGCCTATAAAAAATGTTTTGATGATTGGAAGAAACGTTGGCATTTGTGTATCGCTTCTAATGGAGCATATTTTGAAGGAGATAAAATAAATATTGATGAGGATAAAGAATTTTGCGTTTTATTTA